ATTCCCAGATTTTCATGCCATCTACATGGGTACGGCGACCGGACATGGATTTCCTAACATTTTGCCGACTCATCAAACATGACATAATGAACAATATTCATCGTCTCGTCATGACCGTTCCTCGTTTTTTGGCATTTTAGAGCTATAAAACTGCAATTTCGCTCGATTCCTATATTTTAGTGTGTTGTAGCCCACGTCATGTGCATGGGTCCGGCGATCGGACCTGGATCGCTTAGAATTTTTCCGGCCCATCAAAAATGAAATACGGAACAATAGTCATCGTCTCTCTATGATCCGCATGGGTCCGAGCTACCAGACCCGGATCGCCTAAAATTTTGTCGGTCTATCAATGAATACCTAAGGAACAATAGTCATCGCTTCGCCATGACCGTTCCTTGTTTTTTAGCGTTTTAGGTCCATAAAACTGCAATTCTGCCTTATTCCTAGATTTTTGTGTGTTACAGTACAAGCCATCTGCATGGGTCCGGGCGACCGGACCCGTACTGCCTAAAAAAATTTCGGCCTATAAAAAATAACCTAAGGAACAATAGTTATCGCCTCGCCATGATCGTTCCTCATTTTTTGGCGTTTTAGGGCCATAAAATTAAAATTTCGCCGAAATAACCTAAGGAACAATTGTCAAAGTCTCTCCATGACCGTTTCTCAGTTTTTCGCATTTTAGGGCCATAAAATTACAATTCCGACCGATTCCCAGATTTCGTTTGCTATATAGCCCATGCCATCTACATGGGTCCGGGAAATCGGTCCTGAATCGTCTAAAATTTTGTCGGCCCATAAAATACGACCTAATGAACAATAATCATCACCTCGACATGACCCTTCCTCGTTTTTTCGCGTTTTAGGGCCATAAAATTGGGATTCCGCTCGATTCCCAGATTTTCGTGTGATATACCCCACGCCATCTGCATGGGTCCGGGAACCGGACCTGGACGGCCCATCAATGATGACCTAAGGAACAATAGTCATTACTTCTTCATGACCGTTCCTCATTTTTTGGCGTTTTAGGATAATAAAACTGAAATTCCGCCTGATTTTCAGATTTTTGTGTGCCAAGGCCCACGCCATCTGCATAAGTCCGTACAACCAGACCTGGATTGCCTAAAATTTCACCACCCCATCAAAAATGATCTAAGGAATAATTGTCATCGCCTCGCCATGATCGCTCCTCATTTTTTGTGTTTTAGGGCCATAAAACTGGAACTTCGTCCGATTCTCAGATTTTCGTGTGCTAAAGCCCACGGCAACTGCATGGGTTTGGGCGACCAAACGTGGATCACCTATAATTTTGTCGGCGCATCAAAAACTACCTAATGGACAATAATCATCGCCTCATGATGACCATTCCTCATTTTTTTAGCGTTTTAGGGCCATAAAACTGAAATCCCCCCCCCCCC